CCCCAAAACCCCAAAACCCCAAAACCCCTTCTTAGTTATTATAAATTATTTAGTAATGGAGGGAGAAGAAGGCTTATTCGAGAACAACCTTGGAAATGATAGAAGAGTTTCAGGTGACAATAATTCTTTGGATAATTTGGACGATTTCCCACAACCTTTTCCAGATCCTCTAAAGGAGGGCATCCTTTCTGGCATGAACGACGACCAACTTGACATGAATTTAGAATCAGTTTCTAACCCACTACATAATTACGAAGAGAACCAGCTTGACTTAGACAATGAGGAGTATGGGTTTGACAGCAATATAGATGACAATGGTATTCCAAGAAAGAGGTAGGTTGCTTATCCCATAGAATCCTCCATTTATTTCGGACCATAATCTTCTAATTCGAATAATTAACAGAGATTTTTGTTAAATTTTGTTCTAAATCCTTAATGAAAAATAGCCAAGGTAACAAAAAGAGTGAGAATACTCATAAGAAGAATTATGAGTTAAGGAAGAGAGATCCTGGAATAAATATGTCGGAAGTTGAACTAGCGAATAAAAGTCTGAAGGATGCCCAAGCCCTTGAGGATAAGTCATCTGGCTATGGCATGCTCATCCTACCAGACCAGAGTTTCATGATGACTCGTGAAGAGTGTATCCTCGGTAGAAAGTGCCCGCCAGACATTGAGAGAAATGATAATATCTGATTTTTATCACTTGAAGGTCAGATGGGGTGCAAGTCGATTTCAAGAGTTGCTGCACGCATCTTTTATTGATCCAGAATCAAGGAATTTTGCATTGAAAATTTAGGTAAAAATGCTATACTTGTTGACAAGAAATGACTGAAAAGGTCTTCTAATTCATGCAAGGTGTTTTTACCTCTCAGAAACGAGTGCTGTATCCAGCTTAGCTCACTGATGATATTCTTTATTCTTCCCAAAGAAGTCCTTGAGAGGAAGAGGATCCTGAGAGAGCAAAGAAAAGCTTTATTATTTGAAAAGATATCGAAGCTTTGTCAGAAGCCAGTTGGGACTAAGGATGGAAAAGATGATCAATCTCAGTACTTCAAGGAGTTAGCAAATGATATCTTCCAGGATGTCCATAAGCTATCGATCAAGGACCTGATCTTACTGTACAAGAACAATCAGTTTGGAATTGACTTGCCTCAAAGTTTGCAGGACAAATATTTTATCAGAGGGAAAAAGATGGTTTAATTTCAATTTTTGTTAAATTATGGGGTTTTGGGGTTTTGGGGTTTTGGGGTTTTGGGG